AACCACTTGCTTAAAAGTATACAAAAATACAAGTAGCGGATGCACCGAATGGTTTTTAGCGCCAAGCGAAACGCAATTCGCTATTTTGGTTTGTGTAAAGGCAAATGGTAGTTTTGTTTCTGATGAGTACAGATAAGAGCTGAAAATCACTGCCAAATGTCAGTGTGAGGCTAACAAATGAGTAGCTATTATGCTTAACTAATTATCATTAAAATACATTTGACCTGCTAACATAGCTAACACAACGACGGAAAACAGGACTGCACAGTGATCCATACGGGCATCGCTTACCACTGCAAATTTCTGGATCCGGTTCCAAAACACTGCCTGGCTTTCGAAAACGAACGCATTTTCCTGTGTTCCAGTCGCATGACATTGGTTGTACGCAAGTCACATTGGCGCAACGGTCAGTCTGTGCCAATTTTTCATCAATGTGCATGGGGCACAAGAAATCGTCTGGACTGTATTCGTATCCAGGAATGAGTGAAGTACTCGAGCAGTTCATTTTTCTAGCATTGGCATTATTCGCAGATGAGGTATCATAACCCAGCACAATCTAAAGTGGACGTTATTGCAAGACTCAAAAATTTTTACGGAGATTTACATTAAATGGAGCTGAAACAATTGCCAAAAAATATTATGCAAGCTGTTTTTGCAAATAAGAAAAGATTCATGAACAAAAAGTTGGCACAGTTTGCGCTGGATGGTGCCGCCTTGATAAAGCGATACCCTTGCTTATTACTTCAATATTTCTAGTGCTGTCAACTTGCAACCTAAACTGAGCGTTTTTTTACAAAAATTTGTCTCATGGAGAGCAAAAACTCTTAAACAAACTTGCACCCACTTTCCCCTTCCTTTCTCACCACCTTTGGTCCTATTGAGCTGGTCACGTTTTATTTCGAAATTGCATTTCATTTCGGTGGCAGCCATCTCCCGGATGGAAAAGTGGAAGGAATTTGGTCTTTACGGGCTCTTTCTGTCCGATGTATTGGTTAAATGGTGTTAGTGGACGG